TCATATGTCATCCGGTAAGAAATGGAAGAGGTTTTACTCCATTCTTGGCGGCCAGTGCCGCCTTCTTCTCTTCGATTTGCTTCTTTCTCAGCTCAATAGCTGAGAAGGCAGGTGTCTTTTCAGGAGGCACCATTCTTTTAGCTGTACCTGCAAAAAAGGGAAATTCGAGTTAGAGCGTGTATGCATAATCAGGTGTCAGAATACCGGATGGGTTAATGAACCTACTCTTTTTAAACATTGAACTTAGATTGCAAAGGGACAAGAATGACTCGTCCCTTAACCATTCCGGGAGGGGTACCCAGAACTTTGGGACGATGATTTCACTTCCGTCCTCCATCTGATGGGTCGTTTTGAGGAAGAGACCCGTCTCCATTATTTGGTCCCAGGCCTCAGACGGCACTTTCGGGAGCGCGCATTTTTTGCCCAGTAATGCCGGGTGCTTATTATACCGCCGCAGCCGGTGATTTAGGGAAGTGGAAGGCGAAGAGACGACATAAAATTTTCTCTTCCAGTTGGTCCACTTTGATGGCTTCTCCAAAGTCATCATGTATTCTTGGTTGGTGGTAAGGGTGTACCAGGCGTTCCACCCACCCGGAGCCCGGCTGAGGTAATGCATGTGTGCAAAAGCCTCCCAACTGGGGTTTACCTCCTGCAGCTCACACGCGGCAATGTACCCCAAAATATTGATCCAAGAGTTAGGAGTCAATTGCCATACGCCCAAGTCATACCCCAGCAATATGTCCTTGATGCAGGGGTGAAGGGGGAACCGGAGGCCTGCTTTGAATGCCGCCTCATAACAGCCGAAAAAATCATCGGCATGGTCCAAGTCATCCTCCCATACGACGGTTGCATTAACAGGCGGGACTCTTATTTCCCAGTCCTTCCCAACTGGTTTCCTTTTAAAAAGAAAGGCAGGAAGGGTTGCAGTAAGGGTGACCACGTCTCTTGCTGACATGGTCATGTCAGTCGGATCCCCCTTAGCCGGCCATTTGTAGGCCTCCTCAACAATAGGCTCAGCCTCCTGTGCTGGGGCTTCAGATTCGGACCCAGACCCTTCTCCAGCAGATTCATCGCCGGATCCTTCGGCATTAGAATCAGAGTCTTCTAATATGCTATCACCCGGTGTGCTCGGACCACTCGGGGAATCTTGACGAGTCCCCAAGGTTTCTTCCAAAGGAATTTCACCAGACGGTCCTGCCGTCTGGTCCTCGTTTGTGGGATCAGCCGGATCTTCGGCTGCGTCGTCGGATTTGTAATCCGGGTCAACTGCCGTCCATCTTATCCGAGCCATTCTGTCCTGCACATGAACAGAGACGGTCGGATTCGAGGTAGGTGAAGGTTCGCCCAAATACCCCCAGACGGCAGTCCCAGTCCTAGACTCAGCCGTGCCTGGTGACCGCCTGACAGCAGTCGTAAACTGTGCCGAGTGTATAATTGAAGGGTCCATATCCTATCTATGCAACCGGAAAATTAACAAAAAGAATTGAAAAAGGGTGCAGACGGTACCTTTGGAGGTTGGAATTTGCTGAGATGGTGGCTTGAAACCTACACAGGCGGAAATTTCCGAATGTGTTTGAAGCTGAAATAAAGAAAAATAGATCAGACATGTTTAATTGGAAGCTCATTTAAAAGCCCCCCAAGCGGCGGGGGCCCGGATGAGGGATAGCAGAGATGGGCTGGAAGCTGCTCAAACGACCCCCATACGGTTAAAAGCCGGATGGGGGCAATTTGAAACAGTTTGAGCCAAGGTTGCTCAAACGACCCCCATACGGTTAAAAGCCGGATGGGGGCTATTTGTATGTTTGAGAAAAAGCTTAAGGCTGCTCAAACAACCCCCATACGGTTAGACGCCGGATGGGGGCAATTTAAACAACGTTTGAGAAAAAGCCAAGGCTGCTCAAACGACCCCCATACGGTTAAAAGCCGGATGGGGGCAATTTGAAACAGTTTAAGCCAAGGCTCCTCAAACGACCCCCATACGGTTAAAAGCCGGATGGGGGCAATTTGAAACAGTTTGAGCCAAGGTTGCTCAAACGATCCCCATACGGTTAAAAGCCGGATGGGGGCTATTTGTATGTTTGAGAAAAAGCTCAAGGCTGCTCAAACAACCCCCATACGGTTAGACGCCGGATGGGGGCAATTTAAACAACGTTTGAGAAAAAGCCAAGGCTGCTCAAACGACCCCCATACGGTTAAAAGCCGGATGGGGGCAATTTGAAACAGTTTAAGCCAAGGCTGCTCAAACGACCCCCATACGGTTAAAAGCCGGATGGGGGCAATTTGAAACAGTTTGAGCCAAGGTTGCTCAAACGATCCCCATACGGTTAAAAGCCGGATGGGGGCTATTTGTATGTTTGAGAAAAAGCTCAAGGCTGCTCAAACAACCCCCATACGGTTAGACGCCGGATGGGGGCAATTAAAACAACGTTTGGGGAAAAGTCGAGGCTGCTCAAACTACCCCCATACGGTTAAATGCCGGATGGGCGCAATTTGAATGATGTTTGAGAAAAAGCCAAGGCTACTCAAACTACCCCCATACGGTTAAATGCCGGATGGGGGCAATTTGAAAGATGTTTGAAAGCAAAGGTTGATCAAACCACCCCCATACGGCTAAAGGCCGGATGAGGGTACTTATGACTAGTCTGCATTAAAACAAAGTTGGCTTAAAGGGGTCCCATGCGGCACAATGCCGGATGGTAGTGTATTAAACATTCCAGACGGCAAAACGCCGGATGAGGGAGATTTTTTGGACTTGTCCCAAGCCAGCCCCATGCGGCAAAATGACGGATGAGGGTATTTTACATAATACACCCAGGCGGCAAAATGCCGAGTGAGGTCCTTAATCTAGGGGTAGAGGGAGAAAGCAGACGGTACCTTACTAAATCCGCACTCAGCCGGAAGGCAGACGTCAAGTTCTTGCGAAAACCGGATGCTCGAAAGTCTTGAAAGAAGCAGCCGGTATCAGAGCTTCTCAGGAAATTTTTGAAAATAAAAAGTGCGGAGGAAAGAGGTAGCCACCCTACTTATAGAAAGAGGCAGAAGGCGAACAGTCACTTGCACGAAAATTTGAAATTCAAGAGGGGGAAGGCAGACGAACCGTCACTTACCCCGTGCACCCTACGTCTGTCACAGATGACACGTGAGATTGCCACATCTCATCTGTGAGGGGCAGATGTTTAGGGTGAAAATACCTAAGACACGTGGCCCAATAAATGCTTGACACGTGTCAATCTTTCAGCAGTCTGCAAAGGCCCATTTCCTTTGCAGACACGTGTCCCTTACACCCTTATTGAGGTACAGTTCTCCCTTACTATAAATAGAAAGGGTAGACCTCATTTATGGGGGACAGACATTAATTGCAACCACAAAAAACCAAACAAAGCCTAAACCTACTGAAACGCTCTCGAACCGAGAAGCTTTTACAGTTCTTATTCCACTTCGAAAAGATACTAACTTAATCTTCGGAGGCGGAACTCCCACCCCCTATCCGGAGTCTCCGTTACTTGTGCAGGTACAGATGCAAGAAGGAAGTCGGCTAGGTGCAGGTACAGGCGTAAGAAGGAAGTCTGCTAGGAAATTGTAACTCTCCCGAAGGACACAGAAAACCCCCAAACAACTGCCACGGTTGATGGCAGCGAATGTTCGGCGGTCGAAGTGACCGTCTCATTCGAGGAATGCCACAATCAAGGCGTCCCCTCAGGCAGGGAAGCGTCCGAACATGCTTCTAGCCTTCGCTTTCCCTAATTTTCAAACTCGGTCATAGACCCGCCCGAGCTGTAGTCTCGAAAAGAACCTTCTTCTTCTTCTCCGGAAAACGTTGGTGCGTTCGCTCGAATTCTGGAACAACTCCTTCCACAATCTACCAGGTCGGCCATACCTAGAATTGGCAATGTAATTTATGAACTGGCCGAACTACCATCTCACAACGCTCCTCCTCCTGGAAATAAGGCGGACACCAGGAGGAAGGATAAGGGCAAAGGGCCCTTAGTTCCGGAGGGAGTTTCTATCTTCAAAGGTGGCCAAGGATCTAAAACTAGGAGGTCGGTCGAAGCTACTACGCTGGACACCGTGATGTCCTCAGAATTTGGGGCCTCCCCCTCGATGAAGGGGAGGCGCGGAGAATCAAGAAGTGGAAAACCCAGAGGCCGAGGTGGCTAATGAGGATCCGTATGCCTATCTGGTTGGAGACACGACCTTGGGCTTTCTTAATGATGGGCTGGAGGAGTTCAAAAACTTCCTTATGCTGGGGGAAGGTTATGAGCTTAAGGATCCAAAGTGCTCCCATTAAGTGGCCGCCTGGGAGGATGAGCGGCCACGTAGGCACGCCTTCAGCGTATACCGCGCTTCTCACAAGGTGGGACTCCGCTTCCCCCTTCATCCATTTGTCCAGGAGCTCCTGGACGAGTACAATATTGCCCTCTTCTAACTGATGCCGAACAACTAGTTGAAAATCTACGGATACTTGGTGACATGCATCAGGTAAGGCTTAAAGCCGAACGTCCCAGTTTTTTGCGAGATGCATTCCATGGTCCGTCTAGGCAAAGGGACAGACGGGTTAGTTTATCTTCGGCACCACCAAGGACTACATGGTGGTGATGGAACGGTGTCCAAGTGGCGGGATTGGAAGAACTGATTCTACCACATTAAGACTAAGGACACTAAATTCAACTTGCAAATGAATAGGTTCAATACTGCCCCCATTCAGCTTGGCCGAGGGCAAAACCGTCTGTACAAACCACCCGTCCATGCAGACTATGCATACCAACATGACTATTTTGGAGTTAAGAGGGTAATCAGGGGCGGAAAATAGGTGGTTGTGCCTAAAATCTAGATTCCTTTGTTTCCAGCTGGCTCAGGGATCCAGTTTTTATGTTGGCATGCGACCTATACCGCAATATTCACCAAGGTGGAGACTCGTACCTTAGCCACTTATGAGTAGATTATATCAAAAAAAATTCTAACTTTTTTTTCCTTTTTCTTGCACAAACGAAGCTCTAACCATGCTAAATCCAGAGCAGAAAGGGGATGTTGACATGTCCGAGCTTGACTTAGCTCGGTACAAAGCCCATCAACAGCTGTACAAGCAGACCAAGGAGGTAATGGTCGTCTGCTTGCCGTTCATTTTTTTTTGTTGAGCTGGTATGTTGGAAGTGGAGTCCTTCCATCTTTAACATGGACGTTTTCAGTTTAGTCCTTCGTTCGTCTTGAAACTCTGGAAAGGACTTTCCTTACAGATGTGCTCAGACGCTCCATCTTGACCTTTCCTAACTTCGTGTTGTTTTTGTTTTAGTTGGCCACTCCTACCCCAAGGTCTAAGAGGAAGCAGCCAACCACTGCTTCAAAGGAAGGAAAGACATCCATGTCCCGTAAGAGCACTGCCTCTAAGGGGACGCCTACCGAACAGACGAACCAAGACAAACTCGCGGACTGTTCCAAAGCAATCCGAAGAAGAGCCACCCCAGCTGACACCTATTGGGGTCTCCAAGTCCGTAGGTCTAACCGCAGAGTCGATCTACAAAAAGTACGTCCGAACGGTTGACAGGAGTAAGTCGGCCCCGACACAAACGACCGGCCCCATCTCCACTCTGCGTGTCGAGTTAGTAAAGAAGTCTGATTGGCAGGCGGCTGCGTTTCAGCCGACCGAGGATGTACTCGGTCGCCAAGACAGAGAGGGGACCGAACCCATTCCTCCTCTTGCTTTCAACCTTCCAACCCCACCATCTTTCTCAGACGGTAAAGGTCTTGTCATGGTTTTTAACTTGTCTTTTTTGAACTTATTTTGTTCCTTCTGAACTTTTTTATTGGCCGTGTGCAGATATTGCCAAGGAGATGTACATGAAACCACCCTACTAGTCGCTTACGGGCGCGGACCGGAAGGCTATGTATGCTGCGGGCCGTCCCACAAGAGCAGCGGGAAAAATTCCGCGGAATAAATGAAGGCTTTCTTGGCCTCATGGTCAACTGCACCGCCGAGGTAATCCTACCTTTTATGTCCGCTTCTCATATTTACTTAGTATATTTTCCACTTTTAATATAAACTGACTTTCACTTGTCCCCCTACAACTCTTTCTTCATCTCTCTGCTTTCCAAGAATGGAAGGACAAAGAGAACGAGAGAATCAAGAAGGCCTGGGCCCAAATCAAGAAGGTTGAGGACGCGAACACTGAAACGCGACCCTCCTAAAGCTTCACTACGAGACGGGCCTCAATGCTCTAATTAGCAAGGTAGCTAAGCAAACGGAGGATATCGTCAATATAGGGAAGGCCTTTGAGAGGGAAGAGCTTTCGAGGAAGACAACCCAGCAAGAACGGGATGAGGCGATCCAAAATGCGTCTTAGTTGAAGGAAGGCTTCGAAGCCTCTGAAAAACTGAAGACCGGATTATCCTCATCCCAGGTGGCCCTCAAGTCCGCCCAAGATGAGGTTGCCTCCCTTATGCTTCAGGTAGAAGATCTAAACAAGTCCGTGGCCAACTTTTCTGAGAAGCCGAAAGCCCCTCGGCAGCCTAGTGCAATGGGAATCGTCCAAATTGAGCACAAGGCCAAGGATAGACTGAATAATCATTTCTTCGAGGCCTTCCAACTGATGAGTGAGGAAGGTATGACTGCCTACCATCAAGAGCGCTTCACCAAGCGCGCCTGGAGTACGTCTGCCTCAAAGAGGAAGCTAAGGACTTCCAACCTCCTCCATAACTTGAAGTTACCTCGTCCGACACTGAAGACAAGGGGGACGACGATGATGCTGATGATGATGAGGAGGAGGACGAAAAGGCCGAGCCAACTGAGCAAGGGGAGGCAACCAAGGAAGAGGCAACAGACGCTTCAGCCAAGCCTTCCAACGAAGGGGAGGTGGTCGAGGAGAAGCCTACCGATGATGCGACCGAGAAAGAGTCAACCCTGGAGGAGCCTGCTAATGATGATAAGCCGGTTGAGTAAAGAGCTCAGGTCCTCCAGCAGCATGTTTTTAAGCTTTTTTGTACTTAGATTTTTCCTGCTTCACTTCATCAAAAAATTTCACATTTGGCCGCCTGTTTGAGCGGTTTTGTATAAATTTGATTACAACCGCCTTATTTTGAGCGGCTTGGTTTTAATTATTAATGCATCTTTTGCTTCTCTATACTAAGCATTTTTTAGCAATTTTTATGCTTTATATATGCCTGTATGAGTAACGGGGGAATGCCCCCTTAGTCGGCATTCTCCTAGCCCATATTTTCTAGGTGATTTTGATTAACTTAGTAGTTTTTATACCTAGAAGGGTATGACGACTACTAAGTTAATCAAATCATAGTAATGATTGCCCTTAGGCTAGGTGTAGACACCCAATTATGTCTCCCCAAAAACTAAACCCAATGATGAATACTTTTCACGTTGCTTGATTATCGAATGAAGTGAAAGTGTGACAAGTCTTGTGATGTGTGTTAGGCCCAATGATCTAGTGGAGGGCCCGTTAATTATTAATCCTAAAATTATTAGGATTGATTATAGTCTTCTAGAATAGTCTAGAAGGTTATTTTAAGTTCTAATAGCATTATGATTGATAATTAATATTTTAGAAAAATAATGAATTTGGTTTGAGATAAAACAAGTGTTTTATTATGATAAAATTTAATTTAAAATTGATTTACGGAGTTTTAATTTCTTAATTACATTAAGAAAAGGATTTCGTACTAAAAGCGCGTTTTATCTTTTAATTATCGCAAAACGACAAACTTGTCGCCAAATGACAGAGCTTGTCGCCATGTGTGATTCCTGTCGCATGGCGACAGACTATGTCGCTCGTGACAGGGATCAGTTTTATTCGAATTCAAATTCTGATTTGTATCGATTTCAGACTATTTTCTTATGAATAAGGGTCGTATTTCCCCGTTTTCATTTGACAGTCATCAACAATCATCTATTCTCTCTCTCAAAAATCTAGAAGCTTATTCTCTTTCTAAATCTTCTTTTTTTACAAAATTCCGCATTCACAAGTTCTAGACACACTTAGGCAAGTTCGAAGTTGCCTTCGCCCTAGACATGAAAGGTTGATAATTTTTGAGGGTTTGGCCCCAAATCCCAATTTTGATTGTTTTATACTTCCTCTGTTCTATTAATATTGCAACAAGGAGGAAATTACGCATCCCAATGCACCTTTTATATGCTAAATATCTATAATTGTGTAAGAGTAAAAATTATAAAAAGTTGATATTGTGAAAGTATTTCATGAGACGAATCCAACAAGATCTCACACGACTATATTTTGCTTAACATATAAATCATAATATATGGTCAAACAAGAGTGCTGAATAGTGCAAAAAGTCCATTCTTGAAGACATCATCGAACTAGAGTAGTTTGGCTATACTTCGGGCTTTTGGGCCCCCATTTTATGTTATCGAATATTGTAGCCCCCAATGTTGGGTGACTTCGATGACTTGTTTGTTTTTAATAATTAGACCCTTTCATGTTGCTTGAAATGGGTCTAGAAATCCCGTGTTTGGTCTTAATATGATAACAACTAGGATCTTAGAAACGATTAAACTAGTGTGTTTAAATCGTTTTTTGTCCATTCTTATTTTTAACAAAGAAATTTGCTAAGTCTAGTAATATTGGTCATTTATTAGAACAAGTAAGAGGAAAAATGAAATGTTGTTCATAAATTTTTCGTCTATTCTTGCTACTTTTGACTTCTTTCTTTTGAGTTCAAATTTTGTCACTGTTTTGAAGCTCAAAAAAAAAGTAGATGTTATCCTCCTTGCGAAATTCCAATGTGTGCAACAATGGAGAATAATTTGAAATGAAGACTCCATTATTTAGAATTTAGGAGTCTTTGTTTACATTCTAACTCATGAAATTGTTTGTCTTATATTAATAATGTGTCTTGATACAATTTTCATGATGAATGATTGAGTACTAAACTTTCGTATGAGCAAGTATGATTTTGTTTCTTTTTCTCTATACTAGTCATACTCTCTAATCTCTAGAGTAAATTGAAGTATTGAAACTACAATTATGCACTAAGAATAGTTTTTGAAGTTGAACTTGAAAATGGCTTGAGTATGTAACCTGTTTAATGGCCAAGTTCAGTTGCAAACTTAGTTTTCAAAGGAACAACATGATTATTATATCATTTTGATACATTTGAAAATTGCAAGGCTCGATATCTACGTATACCATTTGTAGCTTAGGCGATTCCCCAAAGTAGCTTGAATGGCATGAATATCTCTTTTTTTTTCTTGTGGATATTGGAGCCCCCACATGTCGGGTTATGCACATTCTTTCTATTTCACAAGTCTTGGAGCCTCCAATTTGGGGTAGTTCTAATGACTTGCTATCATTTAAGCCATTCATATGATACTGAGATGGACCTATGTATATATCCTATTTTGTTTTGAGTTATTTAGGACAATGACATGGCTTTAGTAAAAGTCATGTTCAAGAAAGCAAGTTAGTTTTTTGCTTGTTTATAAACCAAAACAATTGTGTTTAAGGTTTAGTAATATGACCTAATGTCTAAACGGTTGTAAAGATCATTACGATGATTTTATTCTCAAAGTTGATTTAGAACATCAAATATTTTCTTTTTTCTCATCAATCTTTGATTTTGGTCTTGCAGGTGGTTTATTTACCATTCCTTAGCCAATATTCGCAGGAGAACTAAGCGAGAACAACTTTGAGTCAAGAAGAAATCGAATCTTAATATAATCCTTTTGGAAATATTTATGTATATACATGTATCATCCAAACGGTTATTGAGAATCTGAAAATTTATTTATTTGAGAAAACAAAATTCATAAAGGAAATTTTGAATACTATTTTTATTAGAAACATGTTGTTTCAAACTAGAATTCAAAATTTGAAAAGGGATCCAATAATTATATTATTTTCAAAACTGGACCCAAAATGGAAAGAAAAGTCTGGCTTGTAATTGAGTGTGACTTTTTTGTCCAAGATTGATGAAGATAAGTTGTAATTTGCAACTGATTTCAACAAAGATATGAAAATTGTGAGCAAACTTTCGTATATCTAATTTTGTTTATGTTTTTCTGCTTGCATCATTGTCATATTTTTCTAATTAAAAGTGAAGTTTTTTCAATTACATAAGTGCCGTAGTTTGAAAATGAATGTTTATCAAACCCAAGTTTGGTGAAGTGTTATAATAATTTATAAAATCATTCGAATCACTTTCTAAAATATGGTCTCATTTTAAAATGAAAGTTAAGGTGAGGCCTATATTTTTAATTTGAAGCCCCAAGCGTAGACTTTAGGTGGCCTTTGGAACTTTTGTTTACATATGCTAGGGGATGTTTTCCATGTTTACTTAAGGCCCCAAGATTTGTATTTTCGATTTGCGGAATATTGCATATGTTTATCATAAATTGTTTGATCAAGTAACATAATTAATTATCTTCGACAAGTTTTATTTTTTTTTTCGACAAGTTTTATTTTTCGGCTTAGAACGATTTTTTGATTTTTCTTTTGGGTTTAGACTAACTTTGTGTCCCCCTCTTATGCTTCGTTCCCCCAATTTCCTATTTGTATCTTTGCGCAATTCCTATCCCAAGGTATGGAATAATGTAGGTTGAATAACTAAGGCTCAATTGACGAGGCTCAAAAGGGCTTCCAAAAACATGGATTTTCTCTAAGGTTAAAAACATGGGATTATATTTGTGGAGTTTCAAGTTGCCTCCTATGTTGGTGAAATCATCATATCCTTTCTTTGTGGGCCTAAGATGGGCCTCTTTTCATTCAATAAATCTTGTAAGCCAAAGCTCATCAAGATTCTTTAAAGTGTTGAGTATGTATGCCTTTTGATATTGCCTATTTGTATGTATACGTTTTATTTAATGTGAGCTAATAACAATAAAGAGATTGAAAAGAGAACAAGATAGACGTACTTAAAAATATATTTTTTATTCATTAATAAGAGTACAAAATAAGTAGATTCGACAGCATGAATCTCTTAGTCTATCATAAAAAACAAAAGAAAGAAACAAAACAAGACCTAGGGTGCTACATCTTGAATTGTTGACAACTTCTTGAGATCGCGTCTTCGAGCTTTGTCCGTTTCCGACGTAGGTGAAATCTTCTCTTAAAATCAAGTCCATCTATATGATTCATGGTTTCATTTATCAATTCCCTTTCAATTAATATTCCCACAATATAGACTTTTTGATATGTGTCTAAACCAAGGTATTGTAAATGGCACTTGTATGGTGGAGACATATTGTCTATGAACTTTGGGACAAGTTCATGATCCAGAGGTCTTTGAGGAATAAGAGCAACCTTTGATCGCAACCTAGAAAAGAAGTCAATGAAGCCTTCTTCTTCCCCTTGCTTAAGCAATTCGAGATCGCGCAAGGTAGTTGTGAGCTCAATGTTATCTCCATATTGGGTTAAGAACGCTTTTACAACGTCACTCCAAGTGGAAGTTTGTTTTGCATCGAGGTTATAAAACCATGATCTAGTAGTTGGGTCCAATGAAAGAGGAAAAGTACATGCATATAGGCTTGGCTCAACCCCTTTCAATGCCATAATTCCAATAAAGCTCATTAAGTGAGTCCTAGGATTGTCTGTAACCTTAAAGGTTGGCAAATTCGTAGTCAAGAACTTTTCTGGGAGAGTCTTGCCACTAGATTGTGGTGCAAGCTCATAATTGAAGTACTTATTCCCTGAGTTAGCTCGAAGGACAAGTTTCTCCAAGGCCTCTACTCTTTCGGCTCTTGCTTTTTCTTGCAGAATAATTTCTTTTTCTTTTTTTTTGCTTTTATTTTAGCCTTTTCTGCTTTTTTATGAGCCTTCATTTGGGCTTCTTCTTCTCGTAGGGCCTTTAGGTTTTGGAGTTCCTCTCTAAGTTTCTCCAATGCTCCTTCGTCACCCATGATTGGACTAGTATGCGAATGTGGAAGATGATCTAGTAATGTGTATCACGAGAAATTGAGTCACGTTCACTTA